ATTGAAATACTGGACTCCTCAGGCTGCAATTGTCCTTTTTAATTTAGTGTGACTTATATGATTGGGACAAAAAATACCACCAACTGAAAATAAAGATTTGATGACCTGATGTTGGCTATTTGCATTTTTATCAATCCAAAGCCTACAATTCCTTGAATGAATGCACATTGTCTGCTGCCTTTCATGTCAGAATATTAGACTAAGGTCATCTCATGTTGATAAATGACAGACTTATAGCAGTTTAATCTTTTCAAACTTTGAAAAAAAAGTATAACCTACAAATCACATGCAATATGGCACAATGTTAGGTTTAGAGTTTGTTGGTGACCCTCAACTTCTACTACATCAACTTTTAGTTCAATATCTGTAAAACTGACTAAGGTATGACTTTTTGTGTTGTAAATTAGCTGTGGCAGCTATCCTGAATTGGACTGACTTCAGAAGTTAATCAATTGTTCCAGTGATTACCTTCCAAATGTTTTATTAAAATCCCTCTCGCGTTTATTATGCAGGAAAAATAAACAGGATTAATGCCAACAGTTAATATGAAAAAGTTTAAAGTAAAGATCTCACATAATGAGTAGAGCTTGGAGTAAGTGTTGTGAATAGCTGAGCTACATTTAAACCAAATATTAACACATCTGCTGAAATAACTGATTGAGTTTGACTTATGTTAAATCTATTTATGGGTTATGGCTTAATAACCACAGCTTAAGTTGAGCTTGCTTTGACAATGAAACTTCAATCAGGTTGATTTCAAAAGATATTCTGTTGTACATTCAATGATTGCTTTCTGAGTTGCATTATAATTTGTTCATTAGTTGAGATATTTTGTTAATGCCACAAACAAATGATTGATTTACAAATTATTTTATTGTAAGACTCTGTTCTGTCTTGTGTCTTTTCTTTGTATTATTGTGTTTGTGTATTTGTTTCCTGCCGTCCACAGTGTTTTATAACTTCATGTTTTCAGCTCCTCCTTCACCTGCTCCCAATCACCCCAGGTGTTCATCATTGTCTTTTGTTAATTTCCTTATAAGTTGTGCATCTTTGTGTTCTCTTGTCATCTGTGCGTTACGTGCTCTCCAGCAGTCTCCCTCCATGTCTTCCATCTCCTACATTTATGTAAGTTTTTGCTGCCACGTCAGCCTTTTTGTTTTGTAAATAAATATTATTCTTTATTTTGAGTTCCCTGTCTGTTTGCACTCTTGTTTCAACTAAAACAACAGAAACATGATATGTATTTGCTATTTAGCTATGGGTGATGAGGATATATAAAGAGGCAAATAAGTTTGTATGTAACTTTCTGCATTAAAAACACAAATGGCAAAACAAGCACCAGTTGTCTTATCAATCCCAGAAACTTCGATCTGGCTTTTTTGTGTCCTTCAACAGAAGAACCTCCATGGGTACTCTTCAATAAAGCCCAATTTGAGTCAAAGAGCAACAGATCCGTGCAATCAGAAAGTGACCAACTGACCTTGGAAGTTCAATCTTACCAGTTATGGTTGGTTTTCTTGGCTGTTAATCTACCAGCTGCACTATGTATCTGATCAATCTGTGGTTACATTCCCTGTTCCATTGAGACCCTGGAAGGATGGCTACTGTCTTGTGAGCCTTATTCTCTTTAAAAAATTGACAGTTGTTGTCAGAGGAACATGAAGCTTGGAGAGGGTAATGTATCCTTTACTTAAACATGAATATTCAAAATCTTCTTTTTGAGCTCCTAACACAGCTCTGGTATCTGTGCTCTCTGCTCCATGTTCATTGTGGTGCACACAAGGGTATCAAACTACTCAGTGGCATGTTTGGTATCTTTAAATAGGCCAAATATCTGATTAAAAAAGCTTGAAGGAACTTGTAATACTAATTAAGGCCTACCTAGTTTATCCTTTCAGCGAGAAGGTTGTTAGATCAGATTCCAGCTGGGGACATTTCTGGCCAGAGTTTACATGTTCTCTCTGCGAATGGGTGGGTTTTCTCCAGGTACTCCAATTTCCTCCCAAAGATCAAAAACATGCATGTTAGGTTTAATGGTAGCTCAAGTAACTAATTTGTCACTAAGTGTGAGTGAGAGCGTAAATGGTTGTATCATTGTCCATATTATCACTGATTCTGCACCACACCACATCAGTTAAGGGCCTGCTCATTGTAAGTGCACACCCCACTCAACCCGGTTTATGGGACCACTTTGTTCGAGGTTCCAAGTGGATTGCTCCTAGATGTAGACTTTGATTGTGCAGACAGTAGTTATTGATTGGCCAGCGAAGCTACGTCACTGGATGACCCGCCCCGAAAAAATGCAAATTACAGCTGAGCTGCGACTTCCTCATCATGTTGATGGATGGCACCACAAGAAATGAGTGCATTTACAGAGATATATTGGAGATCATGGCACAGCACGGCTACACCTGGATTTATAGGCATTGCCGAGTTAAGCTAAAGAAATTGAAGTCAGATTATAAGGAGATTAAGGACCACAATGGGTGGAGTGTCTCTAACACAATGTCCTGTTACAATACTGCCCACTTTGCATTGATAATCCCACCCATAGAGCATGGAAACAAGTGACAGTGGTAAATCACCTCCACCTGAGTAGAACCGATAAGACGAGAGTCGAGTGGAGTCACACTTTTCAATGGCAAAGCAGCTCAATTGACCCTGTGATGGACTTGCAACCTGTCCAGGGTGTCCCCCACCTCTCGCACAATGACTGCTGGATATGGGAACCAGTGACCCCGTAACCCATAAAGGGAAAGGCGGGTAAAAATAATTGGATGGATGGAGAGACGGATGGATAGTTTAAAACAAGACTATAATGCAATAATTAAAAGATGGAAGCAACAAATATGTCCATACTATCATAGCATGGGGCGACATAGTGGTGCAACTGGTGGAGCTGTTGACTCTCAACGATAAGTTCAATGGTTCAAATCCTGGCCCAGGGGCCTTTCTGGGTGGAGTTTGCATGTTCTCTCTGTAAATGTGTGGGTTTTCTCCGGGTACTCCAGTTTCCTCCCACAAATCAAAAACATGCATGTTAGGCTGAATGGTAACTTTAAATTGTCTCTAGGTGTGAGTGAAAGAGTGAATGGTTGTTTGTCTCTATGTGTCCCTGTGATGGACTGAAGACCTGTCCAGGGTGTCCCCCGCCCCTCGCACTGCGATTGTTGGACATGGGCACCAGTGTCCCCCACGACCAGAAAAGGAAGAAGCAGGTAAAGATGATGGATGAATGGATATTTTAGGATGTTGTTGTAAAAAAAGAAGTAATTTAATTTCATAAGTTTTTTGTTTTTGTTTATGCAATTTCACATCATAGACAAGCAGATAATTATTTGACAAATATTTCTAAATAAAACAATTTTCAAAAGGAAGGAAGCATTGTTTCAATGAGAGTACAAACAAATGCATTGATATTTGTACACTGCTGGTAGCATATTGCAGAAAGAGGAGACATTATGGCACAAGATTTCCATTAAAACAATTGGTACCACTTTATAATAAGGCTCCATTTATAGATACTAATAAATAATTTATAGATAAGTTATATACGCACCTAAAGTACAATATTATATGCTAAAGAAATAGGTTTACAAATGCTTATTGTGCTTACAAGGTAGTAACTTAGTCTGAAATGTTTAATATAACAACTCTAGATGAAATATATAGGTGAAAAGATTTGGCTCACTATTTGGCAAGAAATTGGTCCATTTTGTCCCTCTGTCACCTTTAATTAATGCATAATTAGCAGTTGTTAATGATTTATAAAGTGTTTAAAGAGGAATTAATAACATATATATAAACTATCTAGTAGCATCTATAAGCGGAACCTTAGTGTAAAGTGGTACCAAACAATTTTAGTTTGTTCTAGTCGTGCTAAAATTCCCAGCTGAATAGTCAGACCACCTTTTAGAGCACATTTCAATCAAGCCACAACACAGCAGTCTTGAGCATCACCAGTAACCAGTGTTTCTATGTTGCATCCCCAAGAATAAATTTACAGGATCATGTGGGAATACTGCTTGGAGCCTTCCACGCTCCATTAGACTTTTGCTGGCAGTTTAAACCCAAAAAAGCATTTTTTATGCATTATTTATTAAAGAAGACCTGTGAGTTCCTGGATACCATGAGCAGCAGGAGAAGGCAAGAGAAGATGTAAACAATCAGAGTGGATCACCGCACAAGGGATCGATGTGAGATTTACAAGGACAGGGCATTAGAGACTAGAAACAGCTGTCCATATTATAGATATCATGGAATATTGAGCAGAAACAAGTCAAGGTCTTCCTGAGATCTCCACTAAATTGTATGTATGAAGACATGCTTGGATAAACACAGTGATGAGAATCTGCTTGCTCCAACCCTTCGCAGTTAGTACAACAAAAGCCTATACTGTAAAAACAAGAACCTAGTTTTCACGCCAGCACTATTCATTTCTGTTTGCCAAGTTCTTATGAATAAAGCTAAAACACTATCATTCACCATGGTGCGTCTCAACTTGTACAAAGCAAACTCATAACACAAAATATTTACCGTAGTTTTATGCTCAACCATTAGCTAGATTCAAAACAAAATCAGTTTTAAATAGCTACTCCAGTGGAACAGGAATGTTTACCGTGGGTGTCAATCACAGTAAGAATAAAACATTTAAAATATGCAAAACACTGAAAAGCCTGAAATACAAATTAAGCTCTTCTGAGAATTTAATAATGCAAGTCTGAGTGTTTTCTTTAGTAATTTCTGGTGACATTTGACCATGTCTGACAATAATATTCAACTTCTTTACAAGCTATCTTCTATCCACATTAATTAAACCCTGGAGAATGCAAAACATATCCTCCATTAACCTATTATTCTTGGCATTTATATATTTAAAAAAAAAAACATATTCAAAGTTTTATAACACTTGAGAACAAGATACATGTAATACACGTGCACACATACACACGTTTTAATATGTTTTGTGACGCCAATAAAATAAAGCTTAAATTGCTTACCAAAGTCTCCAGGAACAAAGATGTCATAGATGCAGCTCTGACCTCTGCTGTAATTATGTGGGTAGTTCGGGGACAAAACGGTTCCCTCTGAACCCGTAAAGTGACCTCCACACGGAGCTGCAGGGACAGAAAAGCAAGCAAAAAAGGCAGTTAACAAATAGTAAACAACATTATTTTAACGCTATGGGGGAAAGCAATAAAATGTAAACAACATATTTATTTTACAAGCACAAATGCGGGATAAGAAATTCACATCACAGGATGGGTTAAAAAAAAAAAGACAATGCTCTGAACTTTAAGCTGCAGAGAAATATACTTCAGGACATACAAAAAATGTTTAAGTACACACTTTAAGGACATTTTTGAAGCATATGTTCTAATAACATATCTGAATAAAATCAAATTGAAGACTATCTTTTTTCCTCAGGATATTGTTAGTATTTTTATTTAAAATGACCCTGGGTTTTTTGGTCTGCTCAGAGATGGGATTATAACGAAATTATGACCTGCTTCTGGCTGGTTTAAACGGGGCCAGCAACTCTAAAAAGAGTCTCCCAGTGATTCAATATCCGTCAGGGAATAGAGTTAATTTTGTTTGTTACATCACGCAGAACAGCTTTTTAAGCACCGTCTCATTTTTTTCCTTTCACGTTAACTCAGAAGCGACCACACTTAGTCCCTCCCCTCATACATGTGATAGTTTGTGCTCCCCTTCCGTGAAGGAGGAGTCTAGGGCCTATAAATCGAGAAGGGGTTCTCCGCAGGCCAAAAGTGGGCGTTTCTGGCTAATAGGCGTTTGTGGGGGGCAAACACAGATTGGCTAGCTGTATTTGCTGCTCTTTAGTTAAGTTACGTCAACTCTTTTTTAAAACTGAAAGTTTCTAAGAACCAGCGTTACATCTACCGTCAAACACAAGAAGATTCTCTTTTGTTCTTGGTTGTAGCTGCACCTGACACAGGTTGGCTTGAGTCTGGTCTGGGTACAATGAAATATGAAACATCTGAAGCGAAACCTGCTCCCATGTGTCCAAAAAGTCTGGTCTCAATTAAAGATCATGAGTCCTATGATGAGATAATGGCCCAAAACAAACGCTAAAAACAAAATTTGCTCTTTAGAAGTGCTCTTCTATGAGATCTGATCTATGGAAGGAGCTGAAACATGGAGTCGGGTTGACCCTTAAAATGTGAGACAGCTGAGGAAGTTAACCAGTAAACAGAAATACCTGCTCCAGTTGCAGAAATCTTACAGAAACTGGCAATCACTCATCTGCAGTGACTGCAGGTGGAACAAGAAAATGTGAAGTTAAAGGCAACATCCTTTGTCCCAAGGCCAGTTTAAGTATTAATATGTTTCTTTCTTATGAATCGATTGTAACTATTTTCACATTTTTCAACAACCAAAATGGAATTTGTTTTTTAATGTTATGGCTAGGTATTTAAAAAAAACAACATTTAGCTCTCCCCACTACCCAGTTATGTTGCTCTTATTTTGAAATGTAACCAGAAGTTCTGTGTTAAGAGAGGCGGAAAAAGAAGTTATGGAGACACCGCTGATGGCGAACCGGTTAACACCATAGACATAATATGCCTGTGATTAACACAATCTGCCAGTAACGCCTTGTTTTTAGACATAATGTGTCTGTGGTTAACACAAACGGCTTTATGCTGGTGAAGATTCTCAGTCATCCAGGACATGATGAATTCAAAAAGCGTTCAATACAAAAGCAACTGGACTTTATTTGTAACAGAGCGAAACACCTTCTGTTACAAATAAAGTCCAGTTGTTTTTGTATTGAACGCTTTTTGAATTCACAAACGGCTTTTTATCGTTCAGCCTTTTTTCTATCGTCCAATCAGATGTGGCCGACCAGACACGCCCATTTTTCTATCGTCCAATAAGATGTAGCCGGCCAGACACGCCCATTTTTCCATCGTCCACTCAGATGCGGCCGGCCAAACTCACCCATTTTCTATCGTCCAATCAAATGTGGCCGGCCAAACACGCCCATTTTCCTATCATCCAATCAGATGTGGCCGGCCAGACATGCCCATTTTCCTATAGTCCAATCAGATATGACTCCCCGGATACGCCTCATCCAATCATATGTGGCCTTCCGAATTTGCCTGCAGCGATACCTACTTGTATAAATCTGTAATGACATGAGAAATCTGGCCCTTCTGGTTCCTGATCTCACGTCGTGGACAGGACTGCCCAGCGCTATAAACTGTAACATTCTCCTGCATTGATTTTAATACAATTTGTAAAACTGGATTCACGTTTCCAGGCAGCATGGTGGCGCAACTGGTAGAGCTGCTGCTTCTCCGCGAGCAGGTCCTTGGTTCAAATCCCGGTCCAGGGGCCTTCTGGGTGGAGTTTGCATGTTCTCTCCGTGCATGCGTGGGTTTTCTCCGGGTACTCCGGTTTCCTCCCACAGACCAAAAACATGCATGTTAGGCTGATTGGTAACTCTAAATTGTCCCTAGGTGTGAGTGAGAGAGTGAATTGTTGTTTGTCTCGTTTGTCTCTATGTGGCCCTTTGATGGACTTGTGATCCATCCAGGGTGTACCCCGCCCCTCGCACAGTGATTGCTGGACATGGGCACCAGCGACCACCGTGACCCAAAATGG